TGCGAAAATATTCATTGGATTTGAAAACCAATTGTTTTTGTGATCAAAATAAACAGACTTTTGATTTGTTGGATCAGTTGGACAGACAATTGAAGATATATACCAAACAAATACAGAGTCGGAAACCGTTGCCACAGATATCGCAACAAATGATCACAACTTCTTCATTGTCTAAAACTAATCATTCATTTGACTCTTCATTAGTTGTATTGAAATCTACGGGAAGTACTAAACAAGTGGTGAAAATGGATGATAAAAACCCATTCATTGAAAAACAGAGGCAAAGAACCTCTCAATTGATTCTCCCATTAGCTGTACTGAAGTCTATGGCATGTAATACACAATTGGATCAATTGAGTGGTAAAAACGGATTGATATCTCTTGTGGTCTATAACTGTGAATACAAAGACTGCGGGAAAGGGTTTTCCAGTGAAGAGTCGTTGGATATCCACTCGAAGACACATTCCTCTGAAGCGGACACAAGACTAACATTTAATACATCGGACACTAATCAAGAGTTATTCACAGAACACGTGAAACTGTTCCACAAGAAGACGAATGTCACCAAAAGGGACGCAAAGAGTACTACAAATAGAGACACAGACAGTGACACGGATTTAAACACTGAACCAGTGTTTCGCTGTTCCCATAGATCTTGTGGTAAAACCTTTTGTATAGAGAATGCCTTAAATAAGCACATGTCTGTCCACGGCTTTAAATGTCTTATGCCGTACTGTCAGTCCATATTCGACAGTAAGACCAGTCTTAAGGACCATATGGTGAGCGACCACTCATTGGCGCCCTTTGAATGCGAATATAATTCATGCGATCATATGTTTACCACTGAAGAGGATCTTACGGAACACGTGTGTGAAAGACATACGAAGCGAACCAATTGCCAGAAGTTCTTACGATCGGGTATTGAACTCGAGTGCCACCGGAGTCTACAAACGAGTCGTAAACAATTGAAATGTTCGGTCAAAGGTTGCGATTATAAGTGTAATAATAGGAACGAATTGGAGGCACATGTGAACAAACATATGGGTCTTAAGCCATACAAGTGTCACATCGAGGGCTGTGGCAAACAATTCCCTATCAGACATGCACTCCAAAAGCACATCCGTTTAGTGCACAGTTTGGTCCGGAATTATATCTGCGATCACGAGAACTGCAACAAAGCCTTGAAAACTGGTTACTCATTAAGGATTCATCAGAAAGAGAAGCACTACAAAGAGGGACAGGTATACAAATGCCCGAAACCGGGTTGTGACCGCGTGTTCAATAGGGGCAGTGCGTTGGCGTCACACTCCTTAGTCCACAAGGAGGCGTCCCTACGGTGCGAATACCCCGGCTGTGAGTACTCGGCGAAGAAGGTATACATATTGCGCAGACATCAGAGAACACACAACCCGGAGAAGCCGTTCCCATGCGAGTGGCCCGGCTGTGAGTTCCGCACCAAATGGGCGTTCCTGTTGAAACCCCACGCACTGACCCACACCACCGCTGGTCAGACCAATCACGTCTGTCCGAAGTGTGGCAAAGGGTTTCAAACGCCGCTCCTTTTGAAGACACATATGAAGATCCACAGCGAGAACCGCAAGTCCTATGTGTGTCCTCACGAGGAATGCGGTGGTAAGCGGTTTGTCGAAC